GTTGGTGTTTTGGCACTGATTTAAGGTTAATAGGTGACACACCTATAGATTTAAGACTTTCATTGAGTGCTGAACGTTGTTCATTTTCAGACTCAACTCGGCTATAGCATTGATCATTTGATTCTAATTTTTTATTTATACTCTGTACCTTTTTGTAACAACTACTGCATAATTTTCACCCAGGTACAATAGAAATATTTTGTGTTTTAAGAGTTATTGTTATTATAGTGATATCTTCACTATAAAAAAAAGAAACAATCATTTTTAAAAACTAATATCAACTAAGCGTCATTATAAAGAACATATTAGTATATCTATTAATTTATAATTCTATTAAATTTTCAATTTATAAAATTATTTGAATTATTTTCTTTTTAAAAAAGCATTTAGTTGTCTTATTGTTTATTTTTTTTATTTGATTACTATTTAAGCCATAATAATCATCAAAATAATATCAAAATTACCTTTCACGTTTTTCTTTCGATTTTCAACTTTTAATTTTATTCAAAAAATCTAGTTTTGAAATATTTTACAAAATAAATATTTTTCAAAAATACCATTAACATTATTTAGTTTGTGGTAAATTATTTATACATTTTATTATAATATACATATAATTGGATGTGCCATATTACATGACTTCCTCTTATACATGATTAAAGGGTAATTAATTTTTATTTTATTTACAGATCATGTACTAATCATTTAATATTTATTAATTAGATAAGTAAGTTTAAAAATTCTTAAGAGTAACAGGAAATTTATAACAGAATTTACAACATGAAATTTTGAAGCAACAATATAATAATGAAGAAATAAAATGTTTTATTAATAAAAGAAAAAAAAATGTCTTTTATAAATATAGCCTTTTTAAAAAAATGTTATTTATAAATGCATTTGGATTACAGCCTAGTAAATTTTCTATACTTAAAACAATGTTGGTCTTTTACAAAAAAATAAACTTCAATAAATAAAAATAATATTTCTAGTTATTGCTCCATAAGGCCTCAAAAAAGATTAAAAGAAAAATTTTTAACAAAACAAAATTTTCAATTTAGGTAAAATATTTAATTAGGAACATATAATTTTTTTTTTGAGGGAGGGGGAAAAGAAAAGCCTGATTACCCCCCCCCTCTCTCTCTCATACTTTAAGTCTACCCTAGGCACCAAAAAATATAAATAAATTATAAACTTATTACTGCTCTCAAAAAGACAATCTTTTTTCTAACAATATCTTTTTACAACATAAAATTAAAATTTAGCTTATTTTATCATAAATAAGTTACCATTAAATTTTATGCTGACTCAGCATATATATAAGCTTTACTTAAAAGGTTGCATTTAGAAAAGTTGAAAAATGCAGTAATATATTTTTTATTAATAGCAATGCTTGATACCTATATTGTAAGTTATAACCATGCCTCAATAAAACAAGGTGACATCACCATTTTGACAATCGAAATACCCCAAAATATATGCCTTTATTATCTAATTTACGTGTAATTATGGTGATCAATAATAAATAAGAAAACTGAATCCTGAATATCTCAAGAACCGTAAGAGATTCTAGGTTCCAAATTTCAGATTTTCTTAATTTTTATAAAACCTAAAACATATAAAAAAAATTAGCAAAATATAAAACATGGGGTGACATGAGCCTGCTGATTTGACATGGAATTACCCTTAAGCGAACTTGCAAAAAAAAAAAAAAAAAATTTTCTTTCTCGTGAAAAATTTCTTTTCAATTATTTTTGATGAAATGAAAATCCAAGAAAATTTAGTTTGAGACAAATATACTGAGGTGATAAAAAAATCAATTTTTCTACTTTAAAAAATGGTAGAAAATTAGCTACTCATATACTTGTGTTTCTCGTAAAGAGCATTGTTAATCCATTATCATTCAGTTTAGCCATTTTTTCCACTACTGGAATTACGTCATTTCAGCTGATGCCTTTTTTTTTGGAAAGTTGTTAGTTTCCTTGAAAGTATAAATTTAAAAGTAATTTTTGCAAATTCTGGTTCTGGACGAGGTACTCTTTATATGAGGAATAATGGCTTACACATACTCTGGAGTCATATTTCTCAACTTTATTATGAGGACTTAGAATGTGGCTTAAGATTAGTATATAAACTAACAAGTGATCACATAAATTTAACACCATATTCAGTAATGCGTGTTTACTTGGCTGCTCTAGTGTTTAGTGAAACAGTTGGCAGGATGCGCAGGAACTTCTCAATTTTGTCTCATGATGTTAACGTTTTAAGTAAAAATAAAGCTATCAAAAATTACAAAAGAAAATTTAAAACCCTATGAATCAGTTAGTGATGTACGTTTTGAATGGCTTGACAGTTTTCTTTTACACTTTAGGAAATGGAAAGAATCTATTGACAATCGAAATGACCGGAATTATACTGTTAATGCTAAGGCAAATATGTTTATTTCTTTGCAAATATATGAAGGTATCCAAATAACAGTACATTCATTCAAAGATGTTTGTAAATTTCTCTTAGAACATGGCGTTCCTTACATTCTTTCAAAAAAATTTTATCAAGACGATTTAGAAAACTACTTTAGAGGGCAACGTGCCATTGGCAGCAGACGTGATAAACCCACTATTAGAGATGCTGGGTATAATGACAACACTATTAAGTCACAATATTCTATACAATCTATTGTCGGTAACGTTCATGGTCAAAAACATAATTTTAATGAGATAATTGATTCACCAAAATTTGACTAAATAGTAAATTAACACAGTTCCGGACAGTGACTATAATTCTGTCAAAACAGCTATTTTCATAGCTAAAAATAAAAATAATTACATTATTGGCTAAAATTTCACTTTTTAGGCTTGTGGCAACAGTAACTGTTTATTTATATTATTATTTATTTATCTTGTTAATATCGAAATATCGATTCATATTGAAGGAAAGTGTTCCTTCAATATTAGCAATTCAAAAATACAAAATAATGAAGGAGGTAAGTCTTTATAAGCACAGAGGATGAGAACTACTCCAAAACTGTTAAACCTTCCTCTAGAGTAGAGAGCTTTTATGTGTATATGTAGGAGGGACCCACAAGTGCGTACACGATGAGGGGGTGTTAAAACAGCAAGTACTTACACGGAATAGCAAATATATATCTTTCTTTACTAAAATTTGTGTGACAAATTTGCTGAAAAAAGAGGGTCGATTGCAACTGACAACCACTCCCCTCAAAGGTACAAGCATGACATCCCTCTTTTTTAACCAAAGTCAATGCTTTTTTTTCTGGGTCATTTAGTATTGGCAGCATTGAACAGCCTACTTTTTAATTTAGTACAAAAAAAAGTTGCTTTAAGAAAAATAATTAAAAAAAGTCGCATTAACAAAAATAAATAAAAAAGATGTCTTGTTTGTTTTTATTTTTTCGAAAATATATAGGACTTTTTTTATATTTTTACATTTACTAAATATAAAAAGCCTAAAAGTATAACATTTACTAAATACAATCTTTTAACCATGATTGCATTATCAAGAAATTATAAAAAGAACTTTTTTTGTTAAAAAAAATTGTTTTAACAACAATCAAATTTGTTTCTTTATGTTTTTCACCCAGCAATTATACTAACTTATACCACAGAAAAGTTAAAAATAGGATTAGGGGGTGATCCCAATAATATATGAAGAATATTCTTAATATGTCATAATTATGATATATTAAGAATTTAAATTTGGGTAAAGTAAAAAATTTAAATTAAAGCATACAAAAATTCCTTTTTCTTAAAAAATTATTGGGGTGAGACATTTTTTACACATTGTATCTGTGTATACAAGGGTGCACAAAGGGTGGAGGATCTGGATCAGTTTCCGAAAGGCAACACGTTTATGGGGCATAATCAGAGGATAAAAAAATTACTAAAAAAATGTCAGTAGGAAATAATTACAATTGGGCAATAAAGAAATTAGAACTATTAATACTCTTTTTTATTTAACAATATATTATCAATATTTTTATTTAAAAATAACTACGTTGTTCTAGCCATAACATTTTAATTAATTTTGTGGCTATAAAAATAACCGCTTTTTATCTTTTAAAGCAGACTGGGGATGAACCCAAGACCAAATTTATGGATCAACTACATTGCTGTACGTCGCTTTTTTAATCTCTATTTATATAGAAGATTTGCGTGCTTGTCGCTTGTTGACTTGATGTTTCTCACAAATATCTCAAGCATAGGAAAAGCTTCTTACCCTTGTGAACAAAACAAGCATACTTTCAAGAAGAGAGAAAGATATTTCTTTATCGATTTGCACTTCAGTACTGTAACATATATTCAAGCTACTTATAATTACTGAGTCCCTAAGCATTTCATCACCCAGAGTATTGCTGTTAATAGATCTTACAAAAGATTTGCTTTGTTTACAAAAAATTATTTCACATTGGATAAAGATATTTTGAGTATAGATGTTAGTTTTAAATAAACTACCTCTGTTTTTAGTATTAACATATTTTTAGGTATCATCTGAATCAGTTTTGCATGCTGATAATATTTTTATCCATTGTTTTTTATACTGCTCATCAGATTTATAAAATTTGAACTTTGAGTAAAGTTTTTGAACAACATAGCCTGACAAATATTGAATTATACTTAATTTTTTTTTTTTTTTTTTTTTACCATAATAGTTCTTTACAATAAAAAATAATGTACATAAAAGAATAATGGAAGGACTTCTAGAAGATCATATAGATCTTATCACGAAGACCTGTACAATTTATAGTTTCAACAATATTTAAATAATATAAATTTACAATTTCCGTAGTCAAGTTATATGGATTACAGAAAAATTAACAAAATTAAAATAAAACTGAAAAATATATAATCATTAGAAGTAAATAAAGGTGTTTTCTAGAGAAAAAATAATTTCTTTTATTTTTTGTTTGAAATAATTATAAGTCAATTTAGTAGAAAAGTCTGTTAGGTATAACTGTTTTGTTCCATAGATATGGACCACGATAAGAAATACAAAATTGAGTATACTTATTCCGACAAAAAAGGGCATTAAGATAATTATCAGTACATAAATCATACTTGTTTTTGGGTTTTATTACATAAAGATTTTTAAATACACAAGGAGATAAGTTTTATTTACATTTAAACATAAAGTATAAAATGTTATATACGTTTAGTTGGTAAATATTTAAGACTTTCATTTCCTGCAGAAGTGGCTTAGAGGGCGTAAAACGGTTTTAAAAGTTTATTGCGCGAGCTGCGTGTTTATGATGATGATAAAGAGATTTAAGTTTTTTTTTATTATTGCTACCCCATACTGTATTTGCATAATTGATGTGGCATTAATAAAGGAATAGTATAGCTGCGTTAGTTACTGTTTGTTTAATATGTCTCTAGCTTTATATATAATGCCATTAGATTTTGCAACTTTTGAGGAGGTACTGTCAATATGATTTTTCCAAGATAGATTTTTATCAATATACACTTCTAAAAACTTTTCAACTTTTTCTCTTTTAATAACGATATTGTCAATAAAAAGCTCAGACATTAGAGTTGGTTCCGGAAAAACTAAAAATTCAGAAAAATATCCGGAAATATTCGGAAAAAGATAATCCCTGTATATAAGAAATATATTTATAAGAAATAAAAAAATATAAGAATAAACTTTTAAAAATATAAAAAATAAATTTTTTAGAAACTCTATTATACAAAACACAAAATTTTAGTATAAAAATTGAATATACAAAATTGAATATACAAAATATATATAAATAGGTACCCACTTAATTACACATTTTTAAACATTTTATAAAACATATTATTATTACAACTAGCAGTAAGCAACCCGTAATGGGTAGGTACAATCGGCAGAGCAGAGCAGATTGGCAGAGCAGATTATTGAAATGTTAATAACGGCAGAGCACATTATTCAATCTGCCGTTTCCTAACGTGCGATCTGCCAAATAATTCGGCAGATCATATAATAGAATTTTTATAATGTGATTGCCAAATATTTTTATGAAAAACGATGCACTTTGAATAGAAAAAACTATGAGTTGACTTTTTAAACATAAACGTTTTTTTTTGTCGCAATACCTTTCCAAAAAAAAAGTGATCTGCCGTGTTCTAATGTGTGATCTGCCAAATATTTCGGCAGATCATAATGCAACCGGCAGAGCAGATCATTGTAATGTTAATAACGGCAGAGTAGATTATCACAGACAGACAATCAGCCGTTTTCTGTTTAGTGATCTGAAAAATTACATTTTAATAATGCGTGATCTGCCAAATAGTATTTGAATAATGTGTGATCTGCCAAATAATATTTAGCATCACACATTAAAAAACGGCTGATTGGATAATCTGCTCTGCCGCTATCAACATTACAATGATCTGCTCTGCCAATCTGCTCTGCTCTGCCGATTGTACCTACCTACCCGTAATACGCGTTGTTGGTAAATAAAATTTTAAAAAAAAAACCGCGTATAGAAAAGCCTAGAAACTACTTTAAAATAGAAAAGCCTAGCAAATGACGTAACTCGACTAATAATAATAATATTAAATTAGCGTATTCATATTATCAGATTGTTTATATTTCAGATTTATTAAAATTCAAGAATAAACATCATCAAGAATTTTGCAATAATAAAAAAAAAAAAGCCATTACCTCTATTTAAAAGTTTCAGTAGTTTAATTCTCAGAAGTTTTTATTTTAAGTTTATTTTTAAATTGATCAAGGGAAAAAATTGACGAATATCATCGGAATCATCAACGAATAAAACTAAAAATGTTAGAAAATCATTTAAATCATTAACGTAAATTAAAGTCCTTGAATTGATCCCTGGGGAATTCCGCATGTGATAGTCGTTTTATTCGTTTTTCCACCTTTTTTTTTTCGAGACAACCTTAATGATAACAAATAGATCGATTTTGACGTCCAATCAATAGAAAAAACTGTAAAAATAAAAAGCTAATAAATTTTTTTAAAATTCAATTGTTTCATTGAAAATACATAAAACGTTACCACATTAAAATAAAATTGATGCTCTAGTCTAAAAATGCCAACAAGACAATAGTGGCATTAGCTTATAGAAAAAATTGAATACAGTAGTCTCGGTACATAAATCACAACAGTCTCTAAACACATTAATAAAGTGTCTTAATAAATAACAGCAACAACAAAATAAACAAAATATATATTAATAATTTTCCACAAAATAATATACAAAAAAAAAATCGTCATCTTGAAAATACTAAAATTCTCAATAAATGAAATGTCTCAATAAATGAAAATATTATAAAGTAGATAAAGCATGAAAAAAAAACTATACGCTACTATTATCTAGTAGAAGGTTTCTTAAATTACTTTCTTAAACATCACTCAAAGTTTTTTAAGTCATGTTTAAGCTTCAGGTGTGAATTGTGGAAACTAAATTATTAATTCTGTATTATAACTTAAGGTTAAATAACATAAGGTTATTATTTGATTTATTGTGTCACTAGAATCTCTATATATGTATATGTGAGGTGTGTATGTATGTATGTATGTATGTATGTATGTATGTATGTATGTATGTATGTATGTATGTATGTATGTATGTATGTATGTATGTATGTAGATATATATCTACACACACAACCATATATGCATATATGCATATATATATATATATATATATATATATATATATATATATATATATATATATATATATATATATATATATAGATATATATATATATATATATATATATATATATATATATATATATATATATATATATATATATATATATATATATATATATATATATATAGATATATATATATATATATATATATATATATATATATATATATATATATATATATATATATATATATATATATATATATATATGTATATATGCAAAAAGTACCTTTGATGATAACAAAACATGTAAAAACTTTATACAAAAACTTTTGAACCTTACAGAATGATAAGTCATAAAATAATAAATTTGTTAGCTGCAGCAACAGATAACTTATTTTAGAAATTAACATAATGTAGAGAGACTCAACATAGAACTGAAGTCTGTTAGACTTTGCCAGCCAGATGTTTTTAAATCATTTTTTATAGAGGTAGAGGAACAATAGTAAATGGACCAGCAACCTCAGCAGATCCTGACTCCACAATGAATTTAATGGTTTCCAGAAAAGTTCAGTAGCAAGAGATAATCAGAAAAGCCTTTAAGATCTTACAACCTTAGATTGTAATTACTTTGAATTTGAAATTAAGATTGTTTATTAATAATAATAATTGTAATTTTAAAGTTAATGAAAGAAAAAGTAATAAAAACTCTTCACAATACTATCGTTATCATTGCTCAAATGAGCTATGATATCTTGAGCAACAATCTATCAATACACAATCTTGCATAACCTGTCATCTGGTAAAATTATCATTTTACTGTACTATTTTCTCAAGCTAATAAAACAATTGTCTTGTTTTCCCCACAAACATCAGTGCCTTAAAATTTCTCTCACCTTAATGTTTTCCCAACTCAATATAACATATTGAAGTCTTCTGTCTCACTGATTTCTTGTTTTCTTGAGCTTTTTTTTCTACTTTTAAGTAATTCCCAACTTAAAATGTGTTTGCCTGCAGCCACATTGAAAATGAATTTACTAAAAGAAAAAAAAAAGAAAAAAAAATCTTGGTCTTTAATTTTTATCCTTTTTTTTAAAAAAGTTTTGGAGTGTAAGTTTTGGGGAATAACTCACAACTTAATTTGTAGCTTTAAGTCGAACAAAACACAGTTTAAAATATACATAAACACATTAGGGTTTTTTAAAATGACTGGTCATTGAGATTAAAAATAATTGATGATCAATTACTGATAATAAAAACAATAAATTAAGATTTAATAAGAATAACTTTCATAAAATTTATCTAAATATCTATTGTTTTTTTTATTGCATAATATTTTGGAGCCCCTTTGTAGCGACTATATTAATTTTATGTATAGTGATATATACTATATATAATATATACATTATATTATATATATAATATAAGCAACTATATATTGATTTTAATACATTGAAAACTATTTTATAAAATATAATTCTTAACGCTATATATAATTTCATTATAATTTAAAAGATATTTTTTAACTTTTTTATTTCATTTGTTTTTTTTCCATATATACCTATCTTTAGAGAAAATAAATAATAATAAATTAATTTATTAGAAAACTAAAGACAACATTGAAGCATAATTTATTCAGTTTCAAACCAATATACATTATTTTTACAAGATGAATAAGTATGATTTGACACTTTAATTTTAATTAATAATTATTTTTGAAAGATGAATAAGTCTGATTTGACACTTTCATGCCAATTGACTCATTAAAATCATCAAAGTTGTTTTAAACGCATAAATTTTTGCAATTTTAATATTCAATAATTTATCAATATTAATTTTGATAATTAAGGTTCCACAAATAGGAAAAAATTGATATAAAAAAAGCACATTTTAATTTTATTAAAACAACTGTTAAATATTATAACTAAAATTCTCAGCATACTAAGAGCATATATAAACATAATGTAATAATCATGATTCATTTTAGTGTTCTGTGTATCATACTTAATCTCCATTAAATTTATATAAAGCAAACTTTATTTCTCTACATTTAAATTTTGAATTTCTCTTAAGCCCTCCATCACTAATCTAATATGAGCTTTTATTTTTGCTGAATCTTTTACAAAACGATCACTTTTTTCTGTAAGAATTTTCATCTTCTTATTTATAAAAATAATTGCTTCTTCTAAAGTCATTTGAACAAAGTATCCATAACCAACTGAAACATACACAAAAGATGTATCTGGAATAAGTGCCTGACAGTAAAAATTACACCCTAAATCTATTTTAGTACGTAATTCAAATTGCTTATGAGAGTTGATGTTTTCCTTTTGCTGTTGTTGTATTATTTCAATAGTTTTTTTCAACTGAAGATACTCAGCCATTTCTTTATAAACTAAATCACGTTGTTTATGGACCTCAAGGAGATCAGATTTTAACTTGGAATTCAGGAAATCTTCATATTGCAGAACTTTAGAGTTAAAATCGTTATTTTTACTCATTTTAAACTGATTCAAAATTTATTTGTGCATATAAGTAATGCGCAAAATTTTATTCCGCGTTAATACTAAAAATTTAGAGTATCAAGAATGCCATTTGTTGAATAGTCCGAAAACTATTTACATTCGGATTATTCCCCAAATGGACATCTCGATAACAAAATTTGATTATCGGATATAGAAACATTAGACGGATCATTAGTAAAAAAAATGATTGGCGTAGAAATTTATTTCCTCCATCATAGTCATAAGAAATATATATATAATTTATTCTTATGACTATGCCTCCATAGACGCATTACTCCGCGCTTTGATTTCTAGACATTTGTCTGAAGAATTACCCAATTTTTTAAACGGAATTCATACATAGATTAATAACTTTAACTTAAAACTTAGTGTTTAAAAATTAAATGGAAAGTTGTAAGGGTAAAAAGGAAAGTAGGGTTGTAAAAAAATCTAACTTTATTAAAAATTGGTCTTTTTTCTCCCAAAAGCCATACAAATAAGTCCTCTAAATGTTAAAAAGCTGATAATTTTTTGAAATTTATGTTCTTTGCTACACATTTTTATATAAAAAAAACTAGCTAAAAAAAACAACTAGCAAAATTGAGAAAAATTCAAAGCACTATATCACAAAATCTAATCAAAGAAAGACAACAAGAGATTGATTTGAACTTTATTAGATTATAAACACGTTTAATTTATTTTAATACACTAAAAAAGTACCTAATTGAAAATACAAAATCATTAGCTTGCAATAATTACATTTAATTATTGAAAATTTTTAGTTCAAATGAATTTTATATGATTGCTAAACATCCGAAATAACACCTAGACATTGGCGAAACATCATTTTATCCATCTATTATCTGGGATACTGTGTAAATTTCAAGTAGTAGTAGTAGTAGTAGTAGTAGTAGTAGTAGTAGTAGTAGTAGTAGTAGTAGTAGTAGTAGTAGTAGTAGTAGTAGTAGTAGTAGTAGTAGTAGTAGTAGTAGTAGTAGTAGTAGTAGTAGTAGTAGTAGTAGTAGTAGCAATAACTTGAACGACTTTACATCTTTGGCATTCGTTATCGGAGAGGTCATTCCATTTAGAGACAATACGATTAGTAAAAAAGTGACGTCTTAGCTGATAATTTTTTATTATTTTCCGTCTTAGTTGTGATCGAGTTAGATTAGCACGAGCTGGAATAATTATTTATGGCTTAACTCATTGTATATTATTGATGTTTTGTAATATTTTATATTGCTGAATCATATTGCCACGCTTACGTCTACAACCTAATAGGGTGATATTAAATATTTTTTTATCTGAGTTCATAATTAAAGTCTTTTATTGCATGCGGTATTTGTGTCACCCTATGTTGAATTGATTCAAGAAGATTTGTCTTTTTGGAAGCAAGAATTCTATGCTTGCACTGCAAATTCAAGGTGCGGACTTACATAGCAAGTATATAATTTCTTCCAGAGATAAACATCACGACTGACAAAAACACGTTTAAATTGACCAACTATTTTACAAGATTGTATGATATTAAACACGAAGGTATTGTTTGCAGGTAGTTTTTGCAAGATCAAGTCTCATATGCATTACTTTGCATTTCTCAATGTTCAAATGCATAAGCCAAGTATGTGACCATTCCACTGCTCTGTTAATTCAGCTTAGAGAGTGATGCTGTACGACTCATTTTTAGTTATGCTAATAATTTTATTATCTCCGGCATACAGTTTCATACAATTAGTGATGCTGTCAAAACAAAGATTACGAAGAGCAATGCATCTAAGACTGAGTCACTGGTGACCGCTTGATATTCAGATGTGATGCTGTTGATGACCACTTGTTGACTTCGGTCGCATAACCAAGGTCACGCAATCCTTGCGACAAACAAAACCATGCTGTTTTGGAGTAATTAAGTCATTAGCAACTCAGTGTTTTATTATGCTTGTTTGAAAAATACTTTCCATCTTTTTGCATGGAATGGATGCGAGTGAGGTAGGCCGGTAATTTGATGTATTTAGTTTAGTCTTGAAAATAGTTGTTACATTCGATTTTCTTCACAAGTCAGCAACTACACCAGTTGCAAACAAACACTTGTAGAAAAGTGAAAGAGGTTATGCAAAGGTAGCTGCACATTTACTAAGGACCCGCAGATGTAACATCGTACCGGCTACCACGGATGTAACGCCTTAATCGGCTACCCGTCGTAGCCGGTTGACTTTCTTTTCTCAAAGTGGTTAAGACACTTTTGTACTATATCGGTAGAAAAACTTGCTGGGTCAAAGACACAAATTGCTTCAGTACGACTTTCAAAGACTGGCATTAAACCTTCGGGCTCCAAAACAATAGTAAACTATTACTTAACCATATTACTTTTAATTAAACGTGAAAAAATTTAAACAGTGTTTGAACAGAGCTACTTTCTTTGCCATTTTAAATTGTTTAAAATATCAATAACATGCATATTAAGCTCTCTAAGCATTGTACTAAGTAAAACTTTTTATTTTTCCATATTCTACAGTCCATGCAAAACTTTGACATTTCTTCATAAATTGTACTCACAAGTTTCTGTTCTTATACCATACGCGGTAAGATGGCAGCTTAAAGATAGCAACATAATTAACCATGTTGAGAAATTATTTAGTTTTTGAATCCATTATTATCGTAGTAATAATTGCAAGGTATCAAATTTTAATTAAACAGAAAGTGTCTAATATATTTATAGTGTATTATTGAAATCACACCTTGTTGACAGCAAATCAAAAAGATTGTTATGACAGTAACAAAATCAGACATAAAGAAAATGTTGACAGAAATGTTAAGCGAATACAAAAAAGAAACTGAAATTATGTTGAAGCAACAAGAAAAAACTTTGTTGAGATTTTAAGCTCCAATTTAAAATTAATACTTATCGATTAAGCTAAATTAAAAACAAATCGGCGGAAAGTATAAGCAAAATAAACAAATTAAAAAAAGAACTTGATGAATTAAAAGATTTTATTTCAAAATCCTAAAAGTCTTAACTTTCAAGTACATTTAATCGACCATAAACGAAATTTTTTTTTTACTAATGATCCTAACCCTAAACTAATGATCCTAACCCTAACCCTCAACGAAATCCTGATCCTAACCCTCAACGAAATCCTGACCCTAACCCTCAACGAAAGACCAACTAAAAAAAATATTAGCAAAAAAACTAAAAACGAAAGATCAACTAAAAAAAAATATTTGCGAAAAAAATAGGATATAAGAAAATCGATCAAAACAAAATAACTTTAGAATAGAAGGTATTACCGAAAGTATAAACGAAACAAGGGATGAGACCGAAGATAAAGTTTTAAAACTATTCTCTAATTCTTTAAGAGCCAATGAAGTTGAAATTGATAGAGCTCACCGCAGAGGTGAAAAAAGAAGGACGACCGAGAACTATAATAATGAAACTACTAAGATATAAAGACAAAGTTAAAATTCTAAAAGAAGCTCATCGTCTAAAGGGACTAAACATCTACATCAATGAAGATTATTCTTGAGACACAGCGATTATAAGGAAGAAATTGTTTATAGAGGCAAAATAAAAAAGAGAAAAGGAACAAAATGTCGGAATAAGGTCACATGCTTGACCTAGGCATTTACATTCGTAAGAATTCACCCATTTGTCGGGAAACTAGGTTTGAATCCACAGACTACCCCTTTATGTGCTTTCGTTTAGCACCACTTCACTCTATCACCTTTCTCTTTGTTCTATATCGCTCTCCTTCATCTCAAGACTGCACTCTTCTTGATGTTATTTCTGATTATATTGACCAAGCCCTCATTCTTTATTTATCAGCCAATAATGTTGTTGTCGGTGACTTTAATGTTCATCACACTGAATGGCTTGGCTCTAGTGTCAGTGACTCTGCAGGCATCAAGACCCACAACTTTTGCCTTTCTCAATCCTTATCTTAAATAGTCAACTTTCCAACTCGCTTTCCAGATAACCCAAATCATTTACCTTCTCTACTCGACTTATGTCTTATTTCTAATCCTAGTCAGTGCTCAGTTTCTCCACACTCACCCTTAGGTGCTTCTGATCATGGTTTGGTCTCTCTAAAACTGTTATCTCATTCTTCTTTATCATCAGAATCCCCCTATCATTGTACATTTTACAACTACCTTAAAGCTGACTGGGACTCTTTCCGTGATTTTCTTCGTGATGGCGCCTGGGTAGAAATTTTTCGTCTTCCTGCTGACAAATGTGCTTCTTACATAACTTCGTGGATTCAGGCTGGCATGGAATCTTTTATTCCCTCTCGACAATTCCAGGTCAAGGCTCACTCTTCTCCATGGTTTTCCTCACATTGTGCTGCTGCAATTGCCAATCGAAACCATTCCTTCTATATCTATTAGCAAAAAAATTCTCCAGAAAAAAGACATCTGTTTATTACTGCTAGGAACCATTGTAAAATGGTTTTGTCTAACGCCAAAGCCCGCTATTCTCAGATCATGAAATCTCGTATTTCATCACAAAAATTAGGCTCTCGTGACTTGTGGAGAATCTTTAATAGTATCAATAATAAGGGCAAGCCTGTAATTCCACCTCTTTTGTACGGTTCAGACTTTTTCACCTCACTTAAAGACAAAGCTGACTTGTTTGCCAAGAACTTTTCATCAATATCATCTCTTGATTCCACTAGTTGCGTTCTACCTGATATAGCCGTCAAACAGGTTGATCCACTGCTTGACATCCGTATCACTCCAGCTTCTGTATCTAAAGTGATTTCCTGCTTAGACTCTTCTACAGCTTGCGGCCCGGACAACATACCTGTTATAGTCTTGCAGAAGTGTTCTCCGGAGCTGTCGTCTATCCTTTCAAAACTATTTAACAAGTGCTTATCAGAATCTTGTTTTCCAGCCTAATTTTCCTCCGGATTCTATTCTCTATCTTTATAAATCTCAAATCCGGCCTTGTATGAAATACTGTTGCCATATCTGGAGCGGATCTTCTAATGATGCCCTTTCTCTTTTAGACAAAGTGCAAAAACGCATTGTAAACATAGTTGGACCTGCTCTTGCAGCCAACCTTCAACCTCTGTCACATCGTTGTAATGTTGCTTCTCTTTCTCTTTTCTACAAATACTATAATGGGCACTGCTCTAAAGAGCTATCGTCTATTGTGCCATCTACTAAAATTCATTCTCGTGTTACTCGTCATTCAATTAAGTCTCATCTTTTTTCTGTCACTGTTCCTAAGTGCTCCAAAAACTCTTATTCGTCTAGTTTTTTTCCTCGAACATCATTTCTTTGGAATTCGCTTCCTTCGTCTTGCTTTCTTGATTCATATAACTTGCAATCTTTTAAGTCGTCTGTCAATCGTTATCTTGCTCTACAATCTTCATCTTTTCTCTTCCAGTAACTTCCAACACTAATTAGTGGTTGCATGCAGCCTTGTTGGAAGCGAAGATGTTAAAAAAAAAAAAAAAAAAAGGTACGATAAAATTATTAAACTAAAAAATATATCTACCAAGAAAAATATAATTAAGTAAAAATATTAATTTTTATTATTATAAATGAGATATAGAAATTTAACAACAAAAATGACTGATAAAATAATTAAAACAAACACTTTCATGATTTTTTATAAGGAAAATACGCTAATTTTGAATAAAAATAATGATCCTGATATAAATCTTTTTGAGGATATTAATATTGAGTCTTGTTACTGTAATGTTTAGGAAGTATCTTGTTATATACGCTCAACGCAACCATCATTTACGTCATTAACTTTAACATTAAATGTCGGAAAAAAATTTTTGAAAATTTTAAATCTATGTTACATAACATAAACTATGAATTTAAGGTAATATGCCTTATAGAAACTTGGTGTCAAGATGAAGATTCCAATAACTCAAATCTTTAATTGACAGGATACAAATCAGTTCATCAAACCAGAGGAGAAGGTATCGGCGGCGGTATGTGTTTTTTTATCCACAATACATTGCAATTTAAAAAAGCAGAAAATCTTAGCCATCATAGTGAAGAATGTGAGTCATTAACCTTAGAATGATTATAATAAGAAAAACGTACACAATGTTTTTTTAACCGCAATATATAGACCACCTAGTGGTAATATAAAATTGTTTGAAAAATATTTAGAACAGTATTTAAAAACTGTATGAAATAAACAACTATACTTAATGGGAAACTTCAATATAAACCTTTTAGACATAAAAACTGATAATAAAGCTTAACGCTTTATAAATATTCTTTATCAACATAGTATAATACCATTAATTAACAAACCAACTCGCATTACTCATCAAACTGAAACACTCATAGACAATAACTTTACTAATAATTTTTCAAAATATAACACCCAAAGTGGGATCATAAAAACTGATGTAAGTGATTGTTATCCAATCTTTTTTACTTATAATTTAATATACAAAAAAAAATCTGATAGGATACTAAACAAAATAATATATATATAAAAAAAGGGAAATAAATGAAAATAGTATTAAAATTTTCGCGGTGACTTATCGCTAATAAACTGGGAACAACTTATTTACTACAAAGACGCAAATAAAACTTATGAACATTTTATCTGTGAGTTCAGTAATGCTTATGTAAAAGCATTTCCAAAGCAAGAACAAAAAGTCAAGCTCAAAAACTTACAAAATCCATGGATTTCCATGGAAAGTTCAAGGCCTCATCAAATCTTTCAAGAAAAAACAAAAACTCTACGAAAAATATATATAAAAAAAAACTTATAAAAATGAAAAAAAATATAAAAGTTATAAAAACCTATTTGAAAAACATAAGAAACAAGCTAAAACAAATTAGTATTAAAATCTTTTACAAAACAATATTGTTAATAATAAAAAGTTTTGGAATGTTATAAAAGCAGTAATAGGAAAGAAAAAGATTGATCCAGATAATATCCTACCAAACCATTTAAATGATAACAAAAACATTGTTATTAATGATCAAAGATTGCTGAAAACTTTAACAATTATTTTACAAACATCGGAAACTAATAAAATAACTCAAAGTAAAAAAATATTTAAATCATATTCAAAGTGGACTTTGTAATGGGCGAGTTTGACTTATCTTCTGATGAGCTTCGAAACATATTTAAAACAATTCAATCAAAAAAGAGTCCGGGCCTAGATGACATAAGCTCTCATGTGGTCAAAGAAATTTATGATGTTATTGAACATCACATATTGTACATCTTTAATCTCTCATTAAAAAGTGGAGTTTTTCCTGAACACTTAAAATTAGCACGCGTAGTTCCGATATATAAAAGCGGAGATAGTTCTACTTCATCAAACTATATCTCCATACCTTCATGCTTCTCGAAAGTACTAGAGCGCATTATGTACAATAGACTTTTTTCGTACCTCCAAAATAACAATATCCTTTTTAATCACCAAAACGGATTTAAAAAAAAACCGTTCCACTGAACATGCAGTAATAAACTTAGTTAACGAAATTTTAAGTGGGTTTGACAAAAATCAATATATACTTGGAGTATTTATCGATTTGTCAAAGGTGTTTGATACAGTGGATCACAAAATCTTTCTATACAAACTTAGTAATTATCGTATAAAAAATAAAAATCTAAAATGGTTTAGTTGCTATCTAAACAATCGGAAACAAGGTTTATATTACAATAAATATTACACTTTCCTTGAAACCATTATTTATGGCGTTCCCCAGGGATCTATTCGAGGTCCTTTGCTTTTTCTTGTTTATGTTATAGATATTTTTTTATCTTCTCGTATACTAAATTTTATCCTTTTTGCTGATGACACCCAAGCTTTCTACACCCACTCAAATGTTAAAACTATTTTTAACACAGTAAATCAGGAGCTTGAATAGCTAAACGATTGGTTGAAGGCCAACAAACTTTCCTTGAACATTGAAAAAAGCAAATACATTCTTTTCACAAAACCATCAAAGTTACCATTAAAACTCCCAGATATTTTAGTTGACTTAAATTAAAAAGAGCATTTTCTGTGAAGTTTTTAGGAGTCATTCTAGATGAACATATTAGCTGGAAAGAGCATATCAAGTTGTTAGAAAATAAAATACCTAAAAACATTGGGATCATGCATAAAACTAAGTATATTTTAAATAAAGTATGTTGTACTTTGCATTTGTTAATAGCTACATTAGCTACTGCAATGCTGCCTGGGCAAGTACTTACCAATCAAAACTAGCCTTTGTCAATAAAAAAATAAGCAAGCATGCAGCATATTCAGAAATGGATATGCTATTGCTAAACAAATAATGAAAGAACTGAGAGTTCTTAATATTTATGAACAAAACATCTGTAGCATCCTTCAGTTTATGTTCAAATTAAAAAATAATTTGGTCCCAAAAATATTGCATAATTACTTCCAACTTATTGATCATAAATACGAAACAAAATATTCTAAGCAGAACTACCATATTCCAAAAATGTCTTTAAGACAATCCAAACTCTTAATATCTAGAAGAGGACCACAATTGTGGAACTCATTTCTCACAAATGAAATTAAATAAGATAAACTCTTTTCAACATTTTAAATGCGTTGTCAAACAACAGTTACTTGACCTCAACATTACTGAAACAATCTCTTATTTTTAAAAAACTCTTACACGTCTTGAAATTTTTTATTTCCGCAATAGCTGGAAATGCTTATGGTTATATTTATAAAAATGCATTTAATTGTATTTATATTTATAAAGATACATATATTTGGCTATTTTATTCATACGAGTTTTTATATTTATAAATATTTAAATATCTTTTAACTTGTGTTTATCTTATATTTAATTGATATTTATTGTAAAATAAATTGAAGTTAACGGGGCAAGATGATAAGACCATTGTTTTCTGCTTGCTCCAGTCAATTTATTACGTTAACAACTTTGTAAAAAATTATATCGACGAAAAAGATTAAAAAAAAAAAAATTTGTTAAAGGAGATACAGTGCTTTCAAAAAAAAAAAAAAAAAAAAAAAAAAATTAAATAAAGGGTTTTTATGATGTTTTAAAAATACTTTTTTAAAACATCATAAAAACCCTTCCATATTTGCTAAAGATAAATTCTTTTGAACTACAGGAAAAATATTTCTCTAACTAACATATCAATAACAAGTTCACTTATTTAAATAACTCACTTTTATTAATATTTTTAAAAATTAAGTTCGATAGCGTTTTTATATACTGTTTTATGTTTTAGTATATCATCCAAGTTGCGAGATTTTATGGTAATTTAAACAAGCTTTAAGCACAGATTTTTAATTCTTTTGCTTGAAAGCACTGCACACCCGCAACAAATTTTTAAAGCACTTCTTTTGTTTGAAAGCACTGTACGTCCACGTTGTTGTCATGCACCGTTACCGTTTCTTGACATCATTATTAGTAAGAAATAACTGAATTAAAGTTTTAGTTGCTACAAAGTTTTTAGTTTCATTGCATTAAAAAAATCATTTAGATAAATTCAAAAAAAAGAGCTGACTGAGTTTTGATCCTTGGAGGAACGTAAGTCATTTAATAGCCCAGATCGCATATTGTTTTCTATTAGCAAGTTTTTACTCCAATAAGTTTTATTATTGCGTAATTTTGAAGATATATCTTTAATAAATCGATTGTATTGAAGAATATTCTTAATAAATCGATATGAAAACTTAGTTTCTCATTTCAGGTCAGATTTTCATGCAATGATTTAAAAAGAAAGGTTGGCAAAAATATTGTGGTAACAATAGTATTTATAAACCTTAGTGTATGAGTTAGTATTAATTAAACCAAAAAAAAGTATCATTTAACTTTGCGCTTTATTTACAATTAATTTTCAAAATTTATTTGCACATTTTATTTACGTTAATATATCCAAATAAATATCTCTAAAAATAGTATACTGTAACTACAGAATTCTTCACTCCAATAAAAGGATTTCTTTAAAAAGAATTTTAGTATTTTTGTGTCCATAAAATTCAAACTTGAGCAGTTTTTCTTCACTCCAATAAAAGGATTTCTTTAAGAAGAATTTTAGTATTTTTGTGTCCATAAAATTCAAACTTGAGCAGTCCTCAAACTTCTTTGTGGAGTTTCATTAAATTGGTTAATCTTATTATATCCAAAAGGTATTTGACTTGCGGATGAACTACCGATAGGTGTTGAAGTATTATGATGGGATGGAGCAACTTTACGCCAGTAAGCTTCCAAAAACTCACCAAGATGTTCACAAGCGTCCTCTAATTGATTTTCATCCAAAATTAGATCAATCATATCCTGAAAATAAAAGATACAATCATTCCTTGACTCGTTACGTTGAAACCTCTTATTTTAAAATCAACAGCTTTGGTGCTGTCCATTAATTACATCAACAAATTTTTGAAATTTTTACCTCCCCTCCCCTTTGTCAACAATTTGTCAAATCTCCAGAGACCCCTCCTATAAAATTACGTCAATTTTTGATTCCCCCCCCCCTTCATATACAAAGAAGCTACGCTACAAATTTCCCCTTATTTAAGCAATGAAACTCAAAAAAAAAAAAAAAAGTTCAGACCCCCCACCCCCTATTTTGTTGACGTAGTTAATGGACAACCTCTTTACTCATTTTAAAATCAACACCTTCACTAATTGTAAAGTTAGCGCATAAAGTAATCTGAACTTTACAATGAGCGGTGTCACTAATTGCAAGATTATTATTTAAAGTAATCTGAACTTTGTAACGAGCGGTGTCAAATTTTAAATAAAACTCATACCTTTTTAAAGTGATGGCTGCACACATTAAAAGTTACAAAGTGAACACATTGAATAAACTTAAAAAAAACAAACCTCATTGCATTGTGCTAATTTTTCTGCAGCAACAAGTTGTACGCTTAAATGTTTCGATTGTGATTTTCCTCTGGATTTTATCAAACGTGTCAAAACCTGTTTTTTTTTTTTTAAAAAAATATTTAATAAAAAATGTAATAAAATTTATATTTAAAATTTTTTTAAAAGAAATTTTTTAATATCATTTCAATTCTATTACACACATTTATCTTGTGTAAAAAATAATTTCAACTTTCTACTTTCTAAATCTGACAATTAGAACGTTTTTGATTCTGCCATGATTTAAGTGAAATCAATGTATAATATAATATAAAATTGTAATTTATAATACGTGATATAAAATGTAATTTATATCACGAGAATACGAAAACATGTTTTCTATGCTTTACAAAATTAACATATATTATTTTAAACTTTTTAATTTCAAATCTACAATTTAATATTGAAAGTCAAATATGATAAAAAGGTTGTAAAATTTTTAACAATACCTTAGGAGAAGCAATTTTTATAAGTATAACAATGGGTGCAAGAGAAGACTTTATAACTTGTGAAGGATGATTTATCATATCACATTCAAGAACAACAAGTTGCATATTACGACATAATTCGAAAATGCGCTCAATTTCTTGCTGAACTTCCGCTATAAAAAAATATTCCATAAAATGTATCTCAAAATGTGAATAAGAAATGTCAACAACACATCTATAGTACAAAAATAGCATCATCGAATGTATTCAATAATTTACCTATTGCTGGTGCTTGATTAGCTTTCTTTTGCGTTAGTAATTGTTTATTAGGATTTTGAAGAGCAGTACGTTTAGCTAGAGATATATCTGATGTGACTCGTGTGACAGTAACTCTATATAAAATGCAAAAGAAGTTATAATGAAGGTATCAAACTAATTAGCGGTATCCATCACATATCACTAAAAAAAAGTCAATCGAATAGAATTATAAAAAAACAATTTAATTATGTAAACATTACCTTCCTTCAAACCGATGTTTTAAATAGTCAAACAAAGGTTTCTGCATCATATCTGTCACCTAACACACACAAAAAAAAGATTTACTAAATGTTCTAAAATTTCAAAGAAATAAAATTACCTCACTATGTTCAGAAGAAGACTAATTAATATAATACTAAAACAGTAAAACATTACCTCGTAGCCTTTAAGAGATGGACCAACAAATATAATTACCTCGTAGCCTTTAAGAGATGGACCAACAAATATAATTGGACGTATAGAAGGTACAACATCGTATGGTGGTAAATTTTCACTCTGAATAGATAAAATCTCTATGTAACAACTATTCAAACAAAACAAAAATTTGATAAGGCATCACCATAATAATTCAAATATGATTCCATTCTCAAATTTAAAACTCAATAAAATATTTAGATTTAATATGGTTGCCATGGTATTATAAGATCTTACTATTGTTCGCAACAAAATCAAAACAATCAAAAAGATAAACATAATATTTTATTTTTTATTGAAAAATTCTTTAAGATAAAGATTACCTTTTTAAAAATCCCTTTTTTATTTTTTAATGCGTTATTTGATATGGCACTGTTATTATTATTTGAAATGTTAGTTCCTATTGGAGTAAAAGTTGGCAATGATCCATCTTCATCAAAAGATGCACTCCGTTCTTCACCTTTAAAATTAAGAAAAATATTAAATGTAAAAATATTAAAGAAAACTTTTATATACCACAGTTGTTCAAAAAGTGGTCCTAACATCTTCGAAAATGACTCAAAAATCCTTTGGAAAGGTGATTCTATATGTAATAGCGATCAGTTTAATAAAAAAATTAAAATCATATAATTACGTTCGCCTAAATACCTACGTTTCCGCCTAAATACACCAAAAACCTTTATTTTCAAAAAGTGTTTGTACAGCCAAAAGTTCAAAAAAACATTTTTTTTTAGCCTTAAATTTTACAAATATCACAAACTAATATCTCTTAGATTCAAAATTATATTTTAATAAAGAATATTTGTATTTACATTCAAATACTAGTACATCAATATACAATATAAATATATTATATACTAGTACTATATAAATATATATATATATATATATATATATATATATATATTCTAGTACATCAATATACAATATAAAGAATATTTGTATATACATTCCAATACTAGTACATCAATATACAATATAGTATATCAAATTTCCTTTGATTTTTTAGTTAGATAAAAAATGAAAAGAAATTGAAATTAAATTTTATTCTTAAGATTGGTATTATTGAAAACGTTTTTCAAAAAGATGTGCAAACGTTTTTCAAAAAGATGTGCATATATTTCTAAATATATATACACTGAATTACAAAGTAGCTTAAATCAAAAAAAAATTCAGACTGTAGATATTCTTTTGATATCAAGACTGTAGATCTGACAAAAATAAGTAATTACATAAAAATATACTATGCCTGAGATTTTTCTCCGGAGAGTTTTTAATCCCCAACAATTTAATTTCAAATGTGTTTGCTGTTAATATCAATAAAACAACTCAGAAGTTTGTCCTCATATTCAGGATGGGATTGCCTTCTAAAACTTTGACAGTGGATCTTGAATTTGGCATGCATTGATTCAGTGGTTTTCTCACTGAAAACTCTGACCCCAGTTTCATTTTTTTCAGCAAATTCTTTTATGTGATGAAAAATTGCATGTGCTTTGAGAGTAACTGAAATCCCAAGAGCTAGGTAAGAATGAATTCTGAAATATTTTGACAGAATCCTGCCAAGATCTTTCCAAAACAAGCTATTTTAGCAGATTGAAGCTTTCTAAAGCAATAAACAAAAGGCATTGCTTGCAATGCACAATGCTTTTGGGCAAGACCCTGAAGAATGTCAACATTCTTCAACAATTTGTTGCATTCATTTCCATTGAACTGTCCCTCATGATATGCTTGCATATCAAGGTGCAAGAGAATCGACCATTCTTGTGCTTGATGATCCCATATTTCAAGGAGTTGCTTGAAAATACGGTTGAAGATTCCAAGAAAAAGATGGAGTTCCATTAGAGAAATTACATCAATAACAAGCCTAGATTATCTGGAGTAAAATATTGGAGGATGGACAACATTTGAATAATTCTTAGCCTATTGAAGTTTTGCGCCTGAAGAGAGGAATCAAGCATAGCTGTTCCATAAAGAACTGAATGTTCTTGATTAGCTAGAGTTTGTAAGGTTGTCAGACTGGACATCACACCAGCAAAACGGGTGTTTGCTAGAGTGAGAATGCATACCACATTAAATGCTGGCTACTTTCATGTCACATGAAATTATGTAAGACACATCTTTAATTTGTATGACGTTTAATATTGTTCTAAGATTTTCATGTTTCAGGAATACCTTCTGCTGCAGCCACTATCAGCTGTTTTTTTACACCACCATCCTGGACAGAAGTACTTGATTGGAGACATGTTGATCTTTAAGTATAACTTTGTTTGGAATATGTGTCAACTACCCTGAGGATAATTATCAAGAATGAACCACCTCCTTCAATTCCAAGTTTAACTAAATGATATGATGTAAGACCTCCTACTGAGAGAATATAGTTGATTAAGACATTCAAGTTCTTGCAGTGAACAACTTTTCGAACTTGGTTTTTCATTTCTTTGTCCAGAATGACATCATAAAAAAATCTGCTAATTTTTTCCAGAGGTTGTCATTTTTTTGCTTCATGTTTGCCTTTACAGGTCCTTTTTCCACTGAGTGGTTTAGAGCTGATGCAAGCTTTTTCACATCAACATCCGAAAGATTTGCACTATTTTGAACTTGGGCTAATGTTTAAGCAGTAAATAGCTGCTGCTTGTACTTTGCTGAATGTCCTCGCAGAACTTTCAAAGATTTACCTCCACTTGCTCGACTAAGTTTGACAGTACCTCCTGGAGATCTTTTTTAGAGATTAAATCAGTTGCTATTTATTTAGCACACTTATGGTGATATATAATGGCAAGTTTCTGTACATTTTACTGCCTTGCACCTATAATACAAAAGTAAGGTATGTCCTTTTGCAAGTACTGACAAAGACCAAACCTTTTTCATCTGGCTGTGATGATGAAGGTTTGGGACTGAAAGTTTTGATACAGTCAGTTTCAGGTTAGACTTTTGTTTTTTAATTCAATATATCAAGCTCAATATGTGGCAGACTTTCTTTGAGCTTTGATTTGGCCACCCTAAAAATTATACACTGGCTAGATCCAGAATATCTTGTAGATGACTTAATCATAATCAAATTGAATACTAACAGTATCAAGCCATTGTAATTTGCTTGTACATGAATTGCAAATGCCATTTAGAATTTCCTCCTCATTGAAATTAATATTACACTTAAAAAACATTCTTGACTCTTTCAATCAAAAAATCAGTTAATCACTTTTCTTCAAACTCAAAAGCAAACAGATTTTCTGAAATGAGTTTTTGCTGAATTTTTAGACGAAGACAAATTAACTTTTAACAGAAATGCCAATTTATTTGTTTACACTATTTCAGCAGAAAAATTTGGTGCCAAAATATTTCAATTTTATTGCCTTTAAATTTTTATTAAAGGAAAAAAAAGTTAAACAATAGGTTAATACAATCTTGTTTAGAGATATTTGCAATGTTTAAGACAAAAAAAAAGAAGGTTTTTTTAGTAATTTTTAGCAGTGGAAATACATTTTGAAAACTAACTTTCTTAGAGCAAATTAGACAAAAACACACATTTATTTACTTTTATTTATTTATTATAAATTTATATATGTATATAAATAAACATTCTGTTACTTCTGTTACTTAAAATAATTCTAGATTTTATAATTTCTTTGTTCATACTTTATTTGCAGTTATATTATTTAATTTTTTATAAATTTAATTACTAGAATATTGTTTAAAAACAACATTAAAAATTATTAAAAATATGCATTGAGAAAAATTAAAAAATAAAATAGTCATCCATATTTCACACCTATTTTTATTTCATAAATTATAATCATTTTTTTATGTATTTTATTTTGTTTTGAGATTACAACCGATATAAAAATAGATTACTTTCCTCACAATCAGCAAACTAGTGAAAAGTTTCTTATAAATAATTATAACAAATATATAAAAACTAAGAATTTCTTTTTATAATAGGTGACAAAGTTTTGAAAAACTTACTTCCTCTTCCGATTGTATTTATCCTTGGAATTGATTGAGAGCTTTCATCTAATTGCATTTTGCTGGCAGATGCTGATTGATAAATTTTTCCTTTGCCAGCTGATCCAGATAAACGAATGCTTTCAAGTTTACTGGGGCTGAAAAATCAATACATAATACACAAAAACATTTCACAAGAGATAAAAAAACTAAAAGACAAGCTTTAATGAACAGTATTTTGTAGAAAAGAATTTTTGTAATAACTAAAATGTTTAAAAAGTAATATCTAAAAAATGGTAATGATTTAACTTTATTATAAATATATGTATCAGTCTTCTCTGTTTACCCAGCGCATTAACGTGCAAGCCTTTTTGCACTCGCACACACGCCCAGCCAAAACTTTGGCAAGCCTATAAAAAACTACTTGCCAAAAAAAAAACAATTTTTTTAAAAATCTTTTTTGTTCATGAAATACTTTTACAAAAATGGAAACACTTTTATGTATGAATTACTTTATTTAGAACTTCAAATAAAAAGTTTTTGCTGTTTTTATTTTAATTATCTTATTTAGAATTTAAAACGTTGTTAATGCTGCAATTAATGTAATTTAAAATTGAAAAATTTTTTTTTTGCTATTTGTTTAAATATATTTATTTAATCTTTTTTAATTCTTTCATTTAAAGTTTAAATAAAACATTTGTATTACCATTTTTATTTTAATTATTTTGCTTAATAATTATATAAAACATATTTAACTTTTTTATCTTAATTATTTTATCTAGAATTTAATTAAAACATTCATTTTGCTGGATTTTTTAATAGTATTTTTTCAAAGCATTTTTTTTTGCTGTCAATTTTAATTTAAATAACATAAAAAGACCTATTATAACCATCTGGTTAGCGCTTCTTTGTGTGTTTACATAAAAATTCAAAAGGAGAAGACTGCAAAAGAGTGCCACTACATAGACTAAGGGTTTGGGCTGGGGCAGCAATCTTTTTTTTTCATTATTTTTGTTTTTTTTCTTCCCCAAAAAAACCTTTATGCTATAAAGAAAAATTAGTAAGCTATTACTGATCTATATACGCCAGAGATGCCACGAATAGTGATTTTGCTATAAACTGAATATTCAGCTGCCAAAGATAAAGCAACACTAATGCCACAGCACAAATTATTTATCGACTGTTACATCAAATTGTTTTAACTATAGTTATGTATAAAGGTATCATACTCTTGACACCATTCAAAAAGAAATAATATAAAAGACAAAAATAACTAACTCTGGTATATCTTGCATTTCTGAGATAATTTCAGAAGTTGATATTGATACATATAGCACAAAGAACTTCGAATTTATTAAAAATAATATCTTCACTACAATGAAAATGACACTTATGTGGTTGTCTTTTTTATTGATGTATGTTCCAAAACTAATTTCCTAGAATGAGTTAAAACACAAGCAAAACAAAAAAAATTTTTACATTTTTTTGTTTTGGAAAAAAAAAAGTCCTGAAACTGTTTGCTTAAACAGGAAAGCAAACTCTTACAAGTGGTAGTCAGCAAACTAGTGTTGTTACGACTATTAAATAATTCAACTTTCAACTAAAGTCCATTAAAATCGATTAATACATTTTTGAAATCTACTAAGTTGACTAAAAGTCAATTTAGTTGAAGTATAGGAAATATTTTAACAAAAATAATAAAGTAATTCATATTTGTTTTTTATTTTTTAATATCATATTTAAATAATAATGGAGCAAAAACATATGAGAAAAAGGTTGCTTCGATAACAGGATATTATCTATTCCCAGATCCCAATGATTTAGGAACCGCCTTGCTACAATGATATATTATATATATTAGATGCTTAACTTCGATCCAAAAAGTGAAGCCACTATTGCCCTAATTAGAAATGACTTTTACAAGATTAACTTTATAATATTTTGCCATTTTTACAAATCTAGTGTGTGTGTGTGTGTGTGTATATATATATATATATATATATATATATATATATATATATATATATATATATATATATATATATATATATATATATATATATATATATATATATATGTGTATATATATATATATATATATATATATATATATATATATATATATATATATATATATATATATATATATATATATATATATATATATATATATATGAAGAGTCCAAGAAAAAAACAGCATAGTCACATTTTAAAAGTCTTGAGTAATTATATATTGATCATTTAGATAAGTCTTCATAGAAAACAAAGAAATTTAAAAATTAGGAAAAAAAGCATTTTTAGATTAATTTATCTTAAGTTAACATTTTTAATAAACTTTTTGTAATTTTTATTAAAATTATTTTTTACCAATCTTTATACAAAGACTTTTTTAAATGATCAATATATACTTTCTCAAAATATGACTATGCCGTTTTTTCCCCTGGATTCTTCATATATATATATATATATATATATATATATATATATATATATATATATATATATATATATATATATATATATATATATATATATATATATATATATATATATATATATATATATATATATATATAAATATATAAAACATTGACTTGCTATATATCAAAAATTATTAACAATCATATTTACAATGTGATTGTATACATGACATTTAGAGGTTGCTTCACAACTTTAAATCCAAGCTGGCTCAGCCCCAATAAAAAATTAATGAAATACATAATCAAAAGTTTAATTAGGTATAAAAAATGCTGAAATGCTATGAAATATGCTGAAATGCAATGAATAACCTTTAGATAAAACTAGGTAATAGTTATAGTAGTACATTGAAAAGTTAAATCGAATGAAAAGATATAATTATTCTAAGAATTTTACTAGATTAAATCGACTTTTAGTTGATTAGTATGAAGTCTGTAGTTGATTAAATCAACTACTCAATTTTTTAAAGTCGACTAATTTTTGACATTCGACAAGTAATTTAGTCAAAGTCAATAACAACACTACAGCAAACGCAAAATACTATCCTAACAGAACTTGCTAAAAATTTTGGTGTATTGAAATTACACAAAAAGAAGATATTTCCAATTTCACTTTCTTGCCAGCTTGTATGCCAGGACAACTATTGCATCAGTGAAGCATGCAGACTTTTGATTTTCTGCTGCAAACAATCTTTTCAATGATTTCATGGTAAGATGTTTCATGGCCTATAGCACTCAACATTAATTTAACATTTTGATTCATTGTTCACACACAAACAGAACATGTACCTTTTGGACCAGCAAGAATGCACCATTTAGGCCGAAGACTGCAAAATTTAGGAAATCTAATTTTTTAGTCTGGGTACTTTATCCTAAATGCCACATAGAACTCCTTTATGCTACACTAAATCCATTTTTTTGACAAGTATTTTTTTTCCCTAACACTTATAGTCTTTTGTTCCTGCCATTTGCCTTGACTACTGATTATCGCAGTAAAAAAACTTTACAAGTTTTATAACATCTTTGCTGATTTGATGCTGTTCAACCATATCAGGATATGCTATGATGCCTTTTTGGTCTCATAAAAACTTTGCATTTTGAATTTTGTATTTGTGTTAGTAAAACCATTTAAAGTTTAAAATTGTACGGCATTTAATAGTGCACTTTCTGAAGTCAGCTATAAGTAAGGTTAAATATAGCTAAAATAGAATCTGGTTGCCAAGAATTTTCTTATTGTAACTCACAACATTTTCACAAAACTAAATGTTGTAATTACTATAAATACCTTTTAAAACTTTATTATGTATATTAAATGTATTGCAGCACAGTGTTAATTTAGTTGCATAATGCTTCAAATAAACATGTTTATGATGGAGACAAGTTGTTGACTTGACATTGATTATTGATAACCCAGACCTCCACATTACTATTTCTCTTTCATATTCAGGAATATCTTAATAAGATTCGATTCCAAGCAAAGACATATATGTTGCAAGATGACACTTTCTAGCTTGATTCCAATGTTGGGCGTTTGCCATTACTGAGAAATTAATTAAAAATTACAAAATAAGACTCAATAATTATTTCATCTAAAATTAAAATAGTTTTTATGTTTATAGTTTTTATAGTTTTTATGAACTCAAAACTATACTTATACGACATAACTGACATCATAAAACCATATTTATACACCACAGCAGACGTCTCAAAACTATATTTTTCATGACAATTCACTTCACAAAATTTTATTTATGTATCAAAACCAACTTCAAAATTGTTGGCATCAGGTCGGCAAAAATTATTTGATACAAAGGTCTGACCATAAAACATAGAAACAAGGTCGGCAATTTTTTGCCGACCTCAAACACTTTTAGATCGGCAGTTAGGTCAGCATTGCGGAATGCCGACCCTAATTCCGAGTGTTGATATATACAAATATATATATATATATATATATATATATATATATATATATATATATATATATATATATATATATATATATATATATATATATATATATATATATATATATATATATATATATATATATATATATATTACATACATAGATGTTTTAGAACAATAATGAAAAAACAATTATATTTAAAACAAAAACAAACTAAATAACAGAAACAGTAAAAAAGAAAAATATTATTTTAAATTATAGTAATAAGCAACATTCTAGTTGCATCTATGTGATTTTTTCTTATATTTCAACTTAAAACATGTGGGGATATTATTTGCATTATATAAATATTTTAAATTTGCAGAATTAAATTTCTAAATGCAACAATTTAATCTTATAAACACTACTGGATGACACCCCTCAATTTCTTAAATGAAAAAATTAATAACTTTGAAACCTTTTGAAAATTTCATTTTAACTTTTGAAAAGTTTTTTATTTTTTTTTTAGAACTCTTTTCTTGATACTTCTGTCTTTATAATAGTAATTTTTATTAACTTATTTATAAGAACTTTTATGATTTTATTTACTAAATTTATCATTTTAGATAAAAAAATATAACCTCCCAGTGATCATCCAAGTCATTTTTTTTAAAAATCCGGAAAAAATAATTTATGTAAAATATCCAGAAAAATCCGGAACATGTTTTCCCTTACTATTCTTCTAATTTGGCTTTCAGCTGGTGGTTTCAGCTGGTGGTATTAAAAATTTTTATAAAACATTTAGATGTTTTTTATTGGTGATCACTGAAAAAGCAAAATGTATATATATATATCACAATAAATATTATATAAACTTGTATGAACAAGAAAACATTTTGGATATCTAAAATTAAAAAAAAACTAAAATTTGAGAAAAATATCCGGAATTCCGGAAATATCTGGAAAAAGATATTCCTTAAACCTCCTCAACTTTGTAAAATGCTAAAAAAATGTCAAAACTAAGTTAATTGAAGAACTTTTTTATTTGACAAGACTTTTCATATTAGTTTTCTGATTAGTTATTATTGCCTTCAACAAATGGACAAAATATAAAACAGCTTTCTCTTTAAATTTTTGCGTAGAATAATTAAAAACAATTAGCAAAGAAATATATTAGTATAAAGACAATTGATGAGAGACAGCATATTTAGAAGCCACTCATATTATGCAATCATTCAAAAAATTAAAAGAAATGCTCAGAAAAATCACAGTGCAATGATAGTTTAGGTAGGGCTGACATCAGTTGGTCTTTTATATTTGCTAGAACAACTTGCTTTGCAATACTGACTAATAGGGCGGGTCAAAACCATACTTTTTTTAAAATTTTGACAAGCAGCACTGTGAGGAGTTTTTGAATTGGTATAATAAACTATGACTAAATTTTTTTTTTACACACACACCTAGGGGTTGCACCACACACCCTAATTTTTCCACACAAAAAAATATTGTAAAAAAAAAATTGTTTGTTTGTTTCGAAGTATACATTCTTTTAACAAAAGAACAACAAAAAAAATTGTTGCTCAATTTCAGAATTATTAACTTCATGCCTTAAATAAAGTTTCAAAATATGCCATGTCAGCATAAAATTTTTACTATGCTACTATGTAATTTTTAGTTTATTCTAGTTGTTGCATTTTTGTCTCTATACATTTTATATTTAGTGTTTGTGTATATATTTGTCTACTTTTTATTTTTTAGTAGTTAAAAATAAAATATAACTAATAATAAGCAACACATAGTATCATGGCAACATTTCATACTCACAGTAAAACTGACAACTTAACATTTGGACAAGGTTCTAAATTTCCAACTGCAATGATTCCTACAAAAAGAGATGTGAAATATTGCTATTGCTATATCGAGAAAATGTGAAAACTTGAAATTACAATGTATTGGTTTTGATGAAAGAAAAGACAATACAATAACAACTGCAAGGATAATTAAAGAAGAATATATAACAATTGTTAGAGAACCAAGCAGCAGCTATATAGATCATCTAACGCCTGATAATGGAACTTCTCGCTGCATTGCTAATGAAATTCTCCATTTAATATTTGAACCTGGCAGCAGCAGTTCTTTAAATGCTCTCTTATGTGATGCAACTGTAGTAAATACTGGAAAATTTGGGAGGGGTGATAAAATTAATTGAAACAGAACTCGAAAGACCAATTGCTCATTTGTCAACTACATTTAAATGAACTTTTCTTTAAACATGTATTTGAGTTGATTGATGGAAAAACTTCTGGCCCTGGATCATTTAAAGGAGAAATTGGTAAAAAAAATAACAGAGGATTTAACTAATTTAGCAGTAGTTCCTAAGCCAACAAAAGAACTTATTGACTTGGTTACAATAATAAAGCAATGCTATGCGCCAGGATGGTTCTAAATCAAATCAAATTATTTGGCGCTCAAAATTTTTGGTATCTTGCTCAATTAATTAAAAATGCAGTAATTGATGTAAAATACAAGGAGGTAATGGAGAAAGTTTTGAAGCAAAACTTGTATTTTTTTAACTCAGAGAATATTTTATTGGCAATGATAAGCGATGAAAGAAAACAAGTTAGAACTACAGCCGTTCAAAGGAGACTTAAATCCAGGAACACTAGCGAATCCAATAGACATTTTAAACTTCCTACAACATTAAATCTTTGAGTCAAAGATTACTGTGAAGTAATAAATTGAGAGATCAAAGAAGTTCATTCGCCACCTTTACTGAATGATTCTTCAAACAAAGTTATTATGAAAGCCAATGACAGTACATTAAGTATCCCAAAGTATTCTTGTCATAGTCAGAATATGGAAAAAATAGTTGGAATAGTCACAAAGGCATCAAAAAATAGATTTGACTATGATATATACGGTTCCTAATCTTTTTGTACTCTAGAGCACATTTTAAAACATTGGTAGGGTATTTGTATGTAATAAACCTAAGCACTCAAAAAAAATAAAACCTCTAAAAAATAAATAAAAACAATTCACATTTTTAATTAATGTTTATGAAAAAAAATTTCACTGTCAAATACTGACAGACACATACAAATCGTTCGGTGGGCACCATGGTATCTGCGGACATGGAGTTGGGAAACCCTGTATAAGAGAAATGAACATTTCTAAACTACAACTTCTATTATGCATACTTGCTAAACAATTTGAGATAGGGCATGTTGGATAGATAACTTATCTTAAAGTTGCTAGCTATTTACAAAAAACTGTCAGGTCATTTAAGATATTGTTTACCATAGAGTTTCATTGTATACCTTACAGTATCTTACTTTTTACTTAACTTATTAAACTTTGTTGCATTCAGAATATAAGATCTTTTAATTGTGTAAATTATTATTGAGTATTACATTTGAACAATAATCCATGGCTAATAACAATAGTGCAATAAATTAGCTAATAAAAACAAACTTTAAATGATTTTGTTGCAGCTTTTTTAAGTATGTAAACTACTAACAATTGGTTGCAAGCCTAACATGAGCTGGTGCTAGATGCTATTTTTAATAACTCAGTTACTTAGTGCAAGATGCCGTTTTCAGTTAGGATCTTATTAAATAATTTAGAGGCTAATGGAATTCTAAGGAAAAGTTTTGTAAGACTATAACAGAAATGTATTCTAGACCAGACCACAAGCTGTAGAAGAGTTTAAGAAGGTAATGACTTAAGTAACAGAAGTGCCCCTCTGCATTGACTTCTTGCAATAACAAATAGACGCTTATTCTCAAGAGAGTTAAAAAAATAATCATAATTAGAAATAAAAGCTGAGCAAGAGAGTGAAAACCATGGGGTAGAATAAGGATTGATTTGAAACCGGCAAAAAGGAATTAAAATTTTTGTGCTTGCCTGAAATAAGGAAATAATGATGGGGACGGTCATAAAGGAAATCACAAAATGAATCTCAGTCAACTTTAAGGTAGTAGTAAAAAAAAAAATGATAGGGTGAATCTGAAAAAGAAGTAATCTTTATAAAATAAAGGTTTTGTAGAGATCATAGCATGATATGAGCCACAAAGGAGAAATTGAGTACAAGCTAGCTTTCTTAAAAATTGGAAATAAAACATATTAAAAATATGAAAGCTCATATAAAAACCTTTAATATATACTAAAACATATAAATATGAAAAAAAAAAACCTTATCCTTAAAACCATGATATAAGTTAACTTTAACTTAAGATCATCACAAACATTAAATTATGATAAAAAATTTTCTTTGCTGAAAATATTGCTTTAAACATAAATGACCAAAGGTCTATATAAAATCTATATAGGACCTCTGTTTACTGTACGGTTAGTGATTTACACTTTTTAAAACACAACCATATAAAAAATTTGTTTAATGATTACCTTGGTACAAATCCGATGTCATGTCCTTCTTTCACAGCTCTTCCTATCCACCAATCATTGTTAAATTTCTGAAAATGGAAGATTTATTTTTATAGATAACTACTTTTGATTAAACTTTTTTTTATAAACATACATAAACATTATAAAATCATGAAAACTCTTAAGGCAAATCAATAAAAACATTTCATTATATTCCCACATTATAAACTTTCAAAAATAAATCTTGGTACTTGGAACTTGATACTAAAAAATTAATTAGTCGATGGCAGCCCTTAGAATTAGGGTTAGCATTCCGCAACGCGGAACTAACTGCTGACCTAAAAGTGTTTGAGGTTGGCAAAAAATTGCAGCCTTAATTTCAATGTTTCATGGTAAAGCTTTGTGTCAATTTTTTTTTTGCCAACCTCTAACAGTTTGAGTTCCTCGTTTTTTCTTGATTTCGAGGATTGCAAAGGTATATATAAAAAAATGTTTGAAAGTTGTTTGAAAGTGTTTAAATCATAATCATCAGAGAAATAAAAACCAGAATTTAAATTAAATATTCTAATTTTACTTGTTTGTAATGATTGTTTATTAGTTTATGTTATATATTTATATTCAAATGTAAAGAAGCTAAAGTAAGTCATTTAAATTGGTATTACTATGTTAGCCATTTAAAGCATTATACAAAATATATAGCGCATGTTTAAATTTTATCCAACTTAGTAGATTTTTTGCTTTCTGTTTAAACCTATTAACTAATTAAATTGATTTCATTCAATCTATTTTTATAACTAATTATATAATAAATATTTTTCTTTTATAACAAAATTTAACCTTATGTATTCAAAGGTTTTATTTTATTTTAAAGTGATTAAAAAAAATATTAAAATCATTTATTTACAATATACAAATACTAGTTATCATTTAGTTTAAAAATCTTCAGTTTAAAATTTTTAATTTAAATAAAAATATAGTATAACTTAAAATCAAAATGTCTAAATACTGGTCAAAAAAAAAGAAGATGCTATTTAGACATGGTTTTAAGTAATACCTTTTTTTAGTTTAGGAAAAGGGTAATAAGGCTAAATATAATGGCTGCCAAACTAGTAGTAGCACTAGATTGGATTCATACCTTATTAAAACCATTAAATCTGAAAGAAGCAATTGGTTAGCAGATAACAAGAATTAATTATGTTAATAACTTGCTTTTCAGAATGGTTGACCGCTAAGAGTTTTTCAAAATGATTTTTTTTTTACACCAAGAAATATCTTACACCAAGAAATAATCTTCATAATAAAATTCATATTGGTGGAAAACTACTTGACACTGTCCACAAAAAAAGCTTAACTAGATTTTCAGGTTTGCTTAATAACCAGTTAATAATTATGAGTATTGATGGGTTAAGTACTGCCCAGTAGTTTTTGCAACAGCAACAATATATCTTAAATCTTGCAAATACAACCATTACATCCAGCCATGTACTTCTGACTATATGGTTGAAGTAGTTATTATTACTATTATTAAAAAAATACATTATTGTATCCAGATGTTTAGCTCAGGTGAGCTGTACACAATAACATTAAATCACAATAATGTTAAGATTTGATAATTTCAATCATTAAGGAGAGTTCAAGTTGTAAAGGTTTTAGAGACATTTTGCTGCAGCAACATACAAAGCAAAAGGTGAATTACAAATTATAATGCCTCAAAATCTCAGATTCAACACATTGTACAATTGCTTTGGATCTAAAAAATCGACCAACTCTATTAACAGTATTAATTCTGTTTAAAAAAAAAACAAAATAATAGAATAAGAATATTGCTAATATAGTTAACAACCTTGGTGTAAAGATAAGTGAAGAAGAATTGTTACAAAGGCTTTAACTAATTGTTGTTGAATTGAATCTGATGAAGAGAGACAGTTTTACTATTGGTAACAGGGTGAGGACATAAAAAAACCTTCAGAAGAATAAACAATTAGGCTTAAACAAGATGCTGGTAATTTGATAATTTGTAAATAAGTAAATTTCAAAATGTTTAAATATGATTTAAGATTTTATAATGCAGTTTTACTCAAACAGCTTTTTTTTTAAATACTTTCAAAAACAGCCATTCACTAAGTACACTGCTAACGGGATTGCAAAAAGTCTCAATTTTAGCAGGAGACGGGGCTTGGTCACTTTTTAACTGCAATTAACAATAAAGTTTAAGCAAGTCCCGTTAGGATAATACTTTGCAGTTGCTGACCACCACTTGTAATTGTTTGCTGTCTAATTTAAGCAAACAGTTTCATGTAAAAACTAATTTTATTTGCACTTTTGTGGACTTTTCTTTTCCATATCTTAATGTGTGCATAAATTTTGTAGAGATTGGTTTGATTGTTTTCACTTAATTTTTTTTTTATGAAGTGGAAATAAACCATCACTGGTGTTGCTAGAAACCAAGGATAGTTCATCAGTGTCAAGCAGCATTTTACTGAGAAGGATTAATGTTACACTAACTTAATCTTTCACTGAGTAAGAGAGTGATTTGTGTCATTATATTGTAGAGTATTTAATTTTTTGTATTTTTTTTCTTTGTGTTTTAATCCCTTGAAATTAGCATTTGAATGAACATCATCAAAAAAAGGCATTACCTTTGAAATGCAAGATTTGAAATGCCTGAGCTGGTTATTTTTGTATTTTTTTTTTCTTTTTGTAAAACTTTTATACATAACTTTAGTTAGAACATTTTGCTGTAACAGTCAACAAATAATATTGTGACACAGCTTAGTCATTAATGGAACAAAAATGCCCAAAACGTAATTAACATATGCATTTCAATGTAAAACTCTCAAAATAATTGTCATCAAATCAAAATAAGTGTCATCAAATATTCGATGTTTCAGCTTAGCACCTAGCCAAATATTCAGTATTTGGCAAAATCATTATTTGTGACATCTCTATTAAAAAATCCACTTATAAATTAAAACATAAACAAAAATAAAATTATATGTATATTAAATAAATCAAAGCTTTTAAGTTTTTATAAATCTTTTTTCAGAAATCTAAAAATATATTTTTTTTTGTAAATGATTTTAAATGACACTAATAATATAAGTAACCTCTTTTATATGTAAGCAGTCCTTGGCTTCAAAAGAAACAGCCATCCCATGCACTGGGGAATCATCATCTTCAGAACCATTGTAGCCATAGTTAGCTCGAACTGCAAATGCAACTGGTTTTACCTTTAACAAGGTACATAACATAAATAATATTATACTTGAAAATAACATAAAAATATACTTTAAAATTCATTTTTAATACATTTTTGATTAAAGACACTTTAAAAATGTACTCTAATAGAAAAAATAAGTAAAATAAAATCTCTCAAAACTTAAAAATAATAACTAACTCTTGCGAGATTTAATTTTTCAAGAGCTTGCAGTCTAAGCGTCTCTAAATCTTCTTCGCAAAAGTCTGACGATGTTCCAGAAGTTTTGTGTCCATCAAAATCATCACCCTGATAATGAAATTATATTAGAAATGATGAAAATATTCAAATTACATTTTTCAATACGATATTATAAAGTAAATAATTAAAATAAATGTGTTTGAAAACAATTAATAAAAAATTAAAAAATAATTTTATTTTATGTTTCGACATCTAATATAAAATAACTAAGATATTACTATATAATTACAACATTAATTTTACAACATTTTCAGCAGTTCTTACTATCGTGAAAAAATGCTGACAAGGTAAAATAATATTATCCAAAAACCCATGCAGTGAAAGTATACACTTTTTAGTGCATCCAAAAATTTCACAGTCTCTGCGATAAGTATTTTTTCTCGAAATTGGTTCTTTAAATGTTGGACTTTGTGGCGGAGTAAAATACAGTGTCCTAGAACGCTTTTTTTCATCCTGTACATGAAGGTTGGAATTGTCTATATTATTGCGGTCATCAAGATTAGTCAAAACCAGGCTTTCTTCAAACCCTCGATTTAAAAAACCTGCGTTTACAGATTGTAAATTAGAATCATTTTTAAAGCTAATTTCTTTTAATTCTTTGTTTTCATCAATATCAATAATTATGGACCCCCTTTTATTAATAAAGTTCTCATTTTTTTCGCTCATTTGTAAAGAGAGATTTTTAAGCAAATAATTCACAACTTTTTTTAAACAAGCAAATTGTTTAAATAAAAAATGAAATGAATGTGTTATTCAATAAAAACTTCAGATGGTTGTAGAAATTCGATTTAAAAAAAGGATTCAATGCATATCATTATAGTTGATTGAAAATGTCAATTCAAAACGCATCTTTAAAAATAACTAAAATTAAAGGAAGATTTGAAAATCGTTACGCAAGTTAATTTCATATAAACTGTTGCGCAAGTTGTTATACCTTATTACACAACGTTTTACAAATATATCACCTATATTATAACAGAAATTAATACTTATAAACATTGTTTCTGTTATATATATATATATATATATATATATATATATATATATATATAATATATATATATATATATATATATATATATATATATATATATATATATATATATATATATATATATATAGATATATATATATATACATATATATATATACATATATATATATATATATATATATATATATATATATATATATATATATATATATATTATATATATATATATATATATATATATATATATATATATATATATTTTACTCAAGTACAAGTAAAAGTTATAGTTCGAAAAGATTACTCACGTAAAAGTAAAAAGTAGCCTATTAAAAATATACTCAGAGTAAAAGTTACTGCGTTACTTTTTTCAGTAACAATGTTGTCGAATAAAAAAACAAAAATTACGTAGTCTATTATTTTCTGTATAATTTTTTTTTTTTTACACAGAATATTTTTTTTATGGTCGTAAAAAGTGAAAAAAAACCAAGTTATGGTTTTTTTCAACATTTTTTTCTAAACAATTTAAAAATGTCATTTTTATTAAAGTGAGCAAAACTCAATAAAACAAAAAAATTAAATCATAGTATTTGTGAAATTAAACAATACACAACAATTTTTTTTACTCAGTAACGCATATGGTTTCAAATGTAGCGAAGTACAATACTTTAGAAAAAAAATACTTAAGTAAAAGTAAAAATGCACATTTAAAAAAAGACTTAAAAAGTAGAAATTCACAAAATAACTACTCGATTACAGTAACGTGAGTAAATGTAACTCGTTACTTTCCACCTCTGCCTACTTAACATTGACAACTTTGTTATTCTCTTTTAATATTATAAGTAACTGAAACTTAATTATATATGAGGTATCCAAAACTAATAAAGAATTATTTCGTATCAGAAGAGCACACAAGGCTGACTCGATTATTAAAAAGCGTTGCACCATTTCATTGTGTGACGTGAATCAATTTAAGAAGCGTAACGTCAATGAAACGTCAGTGTTTGTCGTAAATAAGTTACAAAATGAGATAAAGAAATTGTAACTGAGAAAAAAAAAATAAAGTTTTTTGCTTAAAATTAATTATTATTTGTTTACATTACCCTTTCTATAAATTTTAAGTACAATATGTATATTTTTTTTCTTTTGTTTGCATTTTTATATTCCATAGAGTGTCAAAAAAAATTAAAATTAAGTTAAACTTTAAACTATAAGAAGTTTAACTAGAAATAATTTTAGCAAAATGTAGTCGAAATAAATAAGAAACTATATAAAGAATATATATATTTTTTAAAACTAAAATAAAGGAGGGAGAGAGGGTAAAGTTATTGAGTTTTATTTTTTATCTTAGTTTATAGTAGAATAAAATTAGTTAATAATAGTTGCTTCGTTGTTTTTACTATTAGTTACTTTGCTGTGTTTATAAAAAAAATTCTAGAAGCAACCGCAATTTTTTTGTAATTTTTGCACTCTGGTATTATTTTGATATGAAAAAAAGATTTAAAACCTTTTTACTTCTTTAAAGAAAATCAGAAAAAATTTTAATAATTAAACCTACCAACATTTTGCTGACTACTTAATTGCTACTTTCTGATTGGTTCCTCTTGAGTTTAATTGGCAACCAGGCTGCTCATTATTAACTACATAATTGTTTTATAAATTGATTCGTTTAAACAACTTTTTTTATGAATGCGATACTCGTTAATAATAAAATCAAAAATTTCTTTGTGAAATAAAAAAAAAAGTTTTTTTGAAATAAAAAAAAACTATTAATCCACATTAAGATATCATAAATATATCGCAATAATATATTTATGATATCAGATTGGTTTATACAACGCAAAGCAGTTAAAAATTTTTGAGAGTTTTATAAGAATATTTCGTTTTCATAAAATACTAAACATTCAAATGTTTATCCATTTGAATGTCTTGTAATCTATGAAGGTTTATGCGCTCTTCAGATACATCCAAATATAGAAATGTTCAATTTTCTTATATAGATTTTTGAATTCAAAACTAGGGATTTTAGATCTAAGTTTATCATATTTATTGAACAACCATATGAGAACAGCCAATGAGAACAACCATATGAGAACAGCCAATGAGAACAACCATATGAGAACAGCCAATGAGAACAACCATATGAGAACAATACATCTATCTTTATAATTTTTATTATCTTTCCATAATCAACCTTAACATCTTATGATACTCCTTAGTTTCTCGTAATCCTCCTAGAATTAACCCAAGATCTCCGAATTAAAGTTATAATTAATTTAAAAAGTAGTTTTGGCAATAAAAATATTAGTATAAAAATATTGGACTCATAAATAGACGGGGAAAATAAGCAACCTATTTGAAAACCCTGAGTTATTGCAAAACTATCAGTCATGAAGCAATAATACTTTGTTTTTTTGCAGTTCGTTTGTTTTATCATAATGATTAATTACTTGCATGAATTTTCAGATTGAAGGTGGAAAAAATTGTAACAAAAATAGAAATGTAAAATTCATAAATTTGTCATCTAATTACGTGACCGGGATAAGATGACTGACTACGCGTTTTCTGTCTCCAATTTTTTAAAATTTGAAAAACTACTTATTACTCTAGCAGAAACACTAAAACTACATGCAAAAAAAATACCTCAATAAAAATTATTTGCACATTATATATATATATATATATATATATATATATATATATATATATATATATATATATATATATATATATATATATATATATATATATATATATATATATATGTATATATACTTATGTATGTATATATGTATATATATACATATATATATATATATACATATATATATATATATATATATATATATATATATATATATATATATATAAATATATATATATATATATATATATATATATATATATATATATATATATATATATATATATATATATATATATATATATATATATATATATATATATATATATATATATATATATATATATATATATATATATATATATATATATATATATATATACTTATATATCTATATATATTGCCAACATTGCCTTTAAAATGGGATTTCCTCAAAATTTCTTACAAAAAAAAAGGAATGTTTTTAACTCCTAAATGAGTTATATAGATTTTTACACTCATGTTTTTTAAAAAAGTCAGCTCAAAAAGCAATTTGTGAATGGAGCTTTTAGCCTGTTAGATAAAATTAATATAGAATAATAAAAATAATATATGCAATTTGCAAGAAAAGACGATAAAAATTTGAACTCTTTATGAATCGATTTTTTGTTTGGTGAGTAGATAGAATTTGATGGTTTGGTACAAGTAACTCGAAGCTACCTAAGTGTACTTTTTAAATATTTGAAATAAAATTTTGTCACTTATAATATACTTGTTTTATTAATTTAATTGAGCGCATATTTTTTATATTATATTGCAGCAGTATTATTAAAGTTGTTTGGTAAAACTGTTATTTATTATGTTGTTAAAATGTATTAACAAATGTTTTGATAACTACACAATATCTTTAATTTAAATTTATTATATTACAACTTTTTATATTAAAACGGTACGGTTATCAGATGTGATCAGTAATGAGTGAGTTTTTAGACAAGAAAGCGATGATATATATATATATATATATATATATATATATATATATATATATATATATATATATATATATATATATATTTAAACAAATATATATATATATATTTAAACAATTTTAAAATGTATATATGTATAAATATATACATATATATATATATATATATATATATATATATATATATATATATATATATATATATATATATATATATGTATGTATATATATATATATATATATATATATATATATATATATATATATATATATATTTATATATTTATATATATATACATTTTAAACTTGTTTAAATATATATATATATATATATATATATATATATATATATATATATATATATATATATATATATATATATATATATTTATATATTTATATATATATACATTTTAAAATTGTTTATATATATATATATATATATA